TTAATCTAATTGAACTTGGGAACTTATCTACTTGAGTTAGTTATTTTCTTTCTTTCTTGTTTTATTTATTTCCTTTCTTTTTCATTTTTGTGTAGGGAAATGAATTGGATCATTCAATCACCAATTCTCGGGGGATCGACCTCGCACTTACATATGCTATACTACCAAACGGCTCGTGCACTTGCGTGTATCACAAGTTGAGGATGCAGCTGAATCCATTTTGGTGCAGCTGTATCTACGCAACAGCAGCCAAAAAAACAACAACAACAACAACAAAACAAAATTACTTTTTTACTCTTTTAAAAGTTTTCTATTCCGAGTCAAGCTATTCCTAAACACTAAACCAACCATTTCCTAAACCTCTTCTCCCATAAACTCACAATTATAGTGGCCAGCTACTTGGTCACATACACTATTTGGTCACTAAATGCAAACATTGCTTTTCTGAATATATAATTAACCAATTAGACCAACTACATGAGCTAGGCCTGCTGCTATTAATTAATTTTACCTTGAGACCTTGTAACTGAAGCTGGTGGAGTAGGAAGAATCAGTGGCGGAGGAGGAGGACGAAGCAGTGGCTGAGGAGTGGCAGAAACAACTGTATAAAATCGATACAATTCATATCTAACATTACAACTAGGATACAAAACTCTTCCTCCTTGCTTCCCATTTCAACAAGCAAGAAGAAATTAAATAGCTCTCGAAGACACCGATCACAAGCGGTGCTTGACAGGTCCAGTGTGCACTGCATAAGGGTGTACAACTCCTGAGACGCTGTAAAGTTTACGACAAAAGAATTTGGAATTGTCACTACAAAAGACGAGGGTAGTTTGGAATTGTCACACGCAGAGAATTTTATGAATTTTTAATGAATTTTTAAAACATTTGGATTGAATTTGGAGGTATTTTAGGCCCTGTTATTAACCTGGATCGTGGGAAAGAGATACAATAGCCCAAAGGCAAAGACATACAATGCTACAAAGGCAAACGAATACAGGGCCCTATGGAGGAGAGACTAACTAAACTAATAAGAAACAGAACAGCTAGAGCAACCATGAAAACCAGAGAGAAATGAAACAAAATCACACTACTTCCAAAGTACAGTCCTGAAAGATTGATCACGCTTTGTTCGATATTACATCCATATACTTGATACATAAAGACAGGCTCCACTCATCATACTCAAGGCTGTTTTTTGCACTTACATAAAAGAAAAAGAAAAAGAAAAAGAAAAAGAAAAAGAGTACAAGATAACAAACATGGTCTGCAGAAACAAACTAGAAGCTAGCTAGCTAGCGGAGGACGAGGAAAGTGAGAGTGATTCAGATTCAATGGGAGGTCTTGGAGGCCTCGAGATCGGCAGCCTTCTTGAGAAAGTTTTGGTCGTCGTCCTCAAGAACCATCTGAATAGGGGATGAGCCGAGCCCGTCGGCGATGGCCAGCATAATCTTCTTCATCTCCTCCCTGAACTCCTCGAGATCCACCGTCCCGCTCTGGTCGGTGTCGAACTTGTCGAATATGGAGTCGTAGAGCTGAGTCAGCTGCTCCGGGGGGGTGGCCACGTCGATGCCGAAGTGGGCCTCAATCAGCCTCAGCGACTCGAACGCTTTGCGCAGCTCCGCCCGCGACAGAACGCCGTCGTTGTTGAGGTCCAGAGCCACAAACTGCTCGTCTACGCTCTTCTTGAACTGCGCCTCCTCCCTCACGAAGTCCCTCACCGTACTTCCGTCGATTATCACCACGCCCATCCTCCTTTTACTTAATTAATTCCACTATCTAGAGCTTCAACAACAATACTAATTTCACTGAATGAATGAACCACCTCTCCCTGTCTCTGTCTGTCTGAAGATTGATTGTTGGTTGGTGGTGGTATTTGTTTATTTATGTTGTTGAGGCTGATGAAGGAGAACATCAAGAGGTGACTTGCAGGTTGGCACGTGCAATGAGTGCACAAAAAAGCATGGATTGGATTAGATTGTGTCGGTATCCTTTTCTTATATTCTTATCCAATATTATATGCCATAAAATTTATTATTAAAAGAAGAAAAAAAAAACCAAGTAAATATAAATAAAATATATTCTAATTCGATCGGTTTAATTAAATTAATAATAATATGTATGCTTCGCTAGTTTTTAGATGAAGCGGTGTCTGGGTGGGGCAACTGCCACAATTTGATGATGTATATATATAGGATTTCTAACTTCAATTCAACTATTATTTAAAACAAATATTATAAAAGAATGAGAGAAAGAGCGATGAATGTCTTTCCAGGAATATTGCAGGAATGGCTTTTACAATTGCTATCTTTTATCTCTCTCGCTATGATACGCGTGATAATTTTTCTACTTGAGATAACTTGATTGATCGAGATAACAAATGTGTGTTACTCCCATTTCATACAAATTTTTCTGGTTTAACTAACAGCAGCTCAGTACTCACTTGTAAAACGAAACGGCTGATTTCTGAGCTTCGGAAACCAATTAAATTGAAAATTATTAAAAGTTGCTAGTTAGAAAGAGTACTTCAACTACAACATACACCCAAACACACAAGATTAGATCCTCCTACTTACCTATGAATTAGTAACATCACTAATTAACCAAACTAATTCTATTAATTTCAAAATAAATAAAAATAATTCATTAAGACACCCAAAATTTCTCCATTAATTTACCAAGGAGCTAGGAATGAGGACAGGTCAGACAGACCCCCCTTCTTCCGGAGTCAGACTTGGTCAAAGACCTCAACCTCACTAAGAACTTCATCTTCATCCTCTGGCCCTGATCCCCTTCGGCGGCCTTCTTCTTCCTCCCACTCCCCGGTGGCGATGACGAAACCCAATTCTCCGGTGACCCACCACCCACACCCACCAGCACGCTCTCCGGAGACGACGTTGCCCTCATCATCACCGTCTGATCATCGCATGATGAGTATAACTCCGCTAACTGATCTTGACCGCCCCCACCACCGCCATCCAAATTAATTCTCGCCTGCATCGCCAACAACACATCCTTCATTGCCACGTCGGCATCCCCACGGTTCCTGAGCAGAATCTCCCCCACCTGGGCCGGCGTGAGGGCCCCACCCGATCTCACGCACCGGTCCACCGCCTCAAACAGCGGGTGCGAGTCCAATCCCAGGTAGTTCTTCGCCATTGCCCGGAAGGCGTGGGGTCCGCAGTTGCCGAGGTTGACGTGGACGTCCATGCGGCCACAGCGGAGCAGCGCCGGGTCCACATTGTCCCTGTGGTTGGTGGTGAAGATTATGATCCGCTCCTCTCCGCAACACGACCACAGCCCGTCCGTGAAGTTGAGCAGCCCCGACAGCGTCACTCGCCCCGCGTTTTGCTCATCGCAATCCTCGTCCTCCTGCTTCTGCTGCCGCGATCTTACTCTAGCCTTTGATCTAGTACTCTTGGTATTCATGGACAGTCTGAGCTGCTGCCTGTTCGCCGTCAGATCGAGGGAGCAGTCTATGTCTTCTATGACTACGATGGAGCGGTTGGTGGTCTGTATGAGCAGAGCTCGTAGCTCAGAGTTGTCGGAAACCTTGGTGAGCTCGAGGTCGTAAACGTCGTAGCAGAGGTAGTTGGCCATGGCAGCGATCAGGCTGGACTTGCCAGACCCCGGAGGGCCGTACAAAAAGTAACCCCGCTTCCAGGCACGTCCCACCCTATGGTAGAAGTCTTTGCCGTTGGCAAACGCCTTGAGGTCTCCGGTTAGCTGACTCTTGAGTTGGGGCTCGAGAGCGAGGGTGTCGAAGGTGGAGGGGTGGCGGAAGGGGACGGAGACCCAGCCGGAGTCGTAGGAGCCGTGCCCGTTGTTGGTGAAGAGCCTCCTCTCGCGCGAGACACGCTCGAATTCCTCGGCGCGGGTAGTGAGGTGGTGGAGGTAGGGGTTGAGAAGGGCGTGGCGGTGGCGCTTGGGGAGCTTGAGGACAAAGGAGCGCTTCTCGTCGAGGGAGTCTTGGACGGTGTCGACGTGGTGGGTCCAGGAGAGGATGTGGCCGCCGAAGGAGTCGCTGACGGAGTGGTTGGGTGCGACGGTGAAAGAGATGCGGTTGGAGGAGTTGGAGCGGGAGAGGGTGAGGCGTGCATTGAATGAGGATGAGGAGGGGTTGGCGGCGACATTAACGTTAACGTTGACAAGGGAGTTGAGGTAGAGGTTGACGTGGCGGTAGAGATCGTTGAGGTGGACGCCGCAATAGCCGTTGAATTCTGGGACGTCAAAATATGAGTAGGGGCAGAGCATGTCTTGGAGAGACTGGTACAAGGAGTGGAGGAGGGACAGCAGCTGCGAAGGCAGCACATTCTGGAGGACTGTCAGCAGCCCTAGCAACGACCACAACTGTGACAACATCTCCATAATCGTTATCTCTCTCGCACACTCTCTCAGTCTGAGATTCTAATCAATTATGATTTTGTCTGTGTCCACCAAGTCTTGTACTAGCTAGTACGTGCGAGATCCAGTTTGAAGACTTGCCATTCATGCATCAAAAAGCATTATATATATGGGGTGAGGGAGGTAAAGACAAATTAAGCAAGGAACATTTGGGCGAGTTAAGTATAAAGAGAGAGTGTTAATTTAGAGGTAGCTGAAAAAGCGGCAGCAGCAGCAGCAAAGCAAAAGATGAGTAATAAAGATGATGCATGAAGCCGACTGATCTTCTTTTGCTTTTCTATATCCCCATTCCCAAGAGTCTTTCATGTTCTACCCCTCACTCTCTCAGCTGTTAAAGCCTTAGCTTTATTTATTTTTTTATACTCTTTTACATCTTCAATATTCCTTCATAAGGATTAGTTAAAGGAAATGCCCTTCTTCCAAATTAATCAGCTGGTCCAGTTAGAGTCTTAGAGACATACAGACATGGCCGGCGGACGTCTTTTGCTTTTGCATGTTTCCTTCTTTTACGAAATTTGAGTTCTTCACAGGTCAGAGAATGTTCTAAGAATAATGTTTATGCTTCCTCTCAAACAAAAATTAAGAAATTAAGAAATTAAGAAATATTCACCTCTACTCATTAGTAAATTATGTCCATAAATGATACAAGTGATTTAGAATACCACGATAGTACGATCATGTGGTACATCTTATACATGTATTATAATATAAGTGGATATTTATATTTCATGAAAGGGGGGGAAAATAAACATTGTCGTCCACCTATATTATAACACGTATACAAGATGTATCACGCGGTCTCATTATAGTCATAGCATTAGCATATTAATACTGGGTCTTCTGCAGTTAGAAACTAGTAGGTGGTGGATAATTAAATGAAGTTTAGAATGATAAATTAGGATGAATTGAGCACCACCGCAAAGGCCAAAGAGCATATATCTTTCCATAGCAACAAAAGAGAGCATATATGATCTTTTTCTGGTGCACGATAAACCATTAAAGTTGAATGAAAATTAGATGGACCTTTCATGCATGCATTATGCATATATAGCCGATGATGCCTCAAAGTTGAAGCAGTTCATCCAATTTATTATACGTGTCTTTCTTTTGCTCCGGAGAGGAGGGTAGGTATAGGAAAGTGATGGTAATATTCTGTTTTTTTCTTGGCCACTAGCAATTCTCCTCTTTACAGTTTACTTTTATATAAAGTCCATTTGCTCTTCTTTTTTCAAAAATTTAATTTGTAAATTCTTTTAAAGAAAAAGTGAGGCCTTGAGCACCATCAGATTTTGATCTAGCGGTGCTTGGCGGTCTCGTATGCATTTTGGCGTGCCTTTTGAAATTAGATAAAGGAAAGAAAAAAGGGAAAGTGAAAAGAGAAAAAGAAAATAAAGAGGTGTTGGGTTGACATAAATACCCATACACCAGAAGGTGGGTAAGGTTAGAGTGTTGATCAGCCTTGCTAGAATCAAGAATAAAGCCAAAATATCCTTATCCAGAAGACAAAAGATAAAATAAAAAAACAAAATAAAGCCAAAATCAAATGCGCTACAAAGCTCCACCAGAATGTCAAAGCGAAAGAGTGCCTTTGGTTTCATTAAAAAATAAAAAAAGGAGTGCCTTTAGTTCAATCCATGCAGTTATGTTGAGCACCCACGTGAATTAAAAGCCTAGTGTCGTGTTGGGTTCATGTCGTATTAGGCCTTAGGATTATATACATGTCAAGAATGCTCAATTTAAATCCAATTCATTTAATAAATATAAACGAGTCGTGTCGGATCGACTCGTTTAACAAATGTTTTCAAGTATTTGGGTGTTTTTGAGATTAAGTTTTCAAAACTAGGTCTACTAAACATATTTTTTCAGTTTTGGACTCAAATTCTGTTCAACTTCAGTTCTAAAGATTTACAATAGTTCTCATGGTCAAGCTAAAAATAATACCCATTTCCAGTTTCTTTTAATTAAAAAACGTGCTTTTCAAAAATATGCCAAATCTAACATGACTTTTTTAAAAAAAATATTTCGAGTTCAATACTTAAAAAAACTTCATGCTGTACTTTCAAGTAAAAAAATGATAACACACTAAGAACCAAAGAAAATGACAAATGGATAATAAAGTGTTTTTTTTTCTCCAAATAGGCTCTCTAAGTGTTTTTGTATAAATGTCATGTTAGAATAGGCATAATTGTGAAAAGGTATAATAATAAAAAAGAAAAAGAACCCCTAGAAATACTAATCTAACAGTGTTTAGAACCCCTAAGTTTTTGTACTTGAAAGAGCTGTTTCTTCAACATACCTGCCACATACCTCAAACCACAGAAAAAGAAGGATAACCAGCTTCAGAACTTTTTGTTTTGGTCGAAACCAGCATCAGAACATAATTGAAGGATTTATATACACAATTTCAGTACTCATTTGATAAGTTCTATGAATATTCCAACTCTTCAGCTTATAAAAGAAATTCTATTGTGCCCCAAAAAGATTGTCAATACAACTGAACTGATGTTGGAAAGTTGCTGAACATAAGGAACAAGGCAAGTTAAAAATTAATAAAACAAAAAGAAGTACAAAAGAGAAACAAGTGAATCAGTAAGAGAATACATCCATCAGTCATTTTTCTTTTCTTTCCAACCTCAGCAGTAGTAAGAGCCAGTGTGGTGGCGGGTTAATGCTGAATGGAATTTTTGAATTCCAGGATATCAAATTTATATCGAAGAAGCATCATTAGTGAATCCCGAAACACACCATATGCAGAATAACTTCCTGAAGAAAAAGACCACCAAGCAATATCTTTTGGAGGCTGTATAGGCAAAGGCTTGACAGTATGCAATTTTTTGGCCTCCTTATTAAAAGCTAGGAACATAATCTGTGTCCATCTGTGTGAAACAAGAACCATATTAGTGGTCATAGACAAGAGTAGTTAAAAGAAGATCCTGCTTAAAACTTACAGATTTGGAAAGCTCTTTAGTTTTCTCGTCATCAAAACCTAGGGATGCCAAGATCTTGTGACCTGCTGACTCTTTTTCAGACCAAATCCCAAGAAGCAGATGAGTTACTGTTATTTCCCCATTTTCTCCTGCATTATAGAAGACAATCTCAATAACAAGTAACGATTAACATAAAACCCCACATCCAACCACAGAATTATGCAGGTACAGCATATATGTCTAGATGGAAAGGTGGACGCTTATCCTATGGGATATGCTAATGGCGATCTTACCAAGAAATAACTGTATGTAACAATATAGTTTTAAGTAGTAATAGAAGATTATGACATTCCTAGATTTCAAAGAACCACAAAATCACCATCTCTAGAGTTTCTGAACATAAATTTACACAACCTGATTTTAGCTTCTGATCAACAGCCCAGTCAAGGGCCCTCTGAGCTGGTTCAGTCAATGGAGGATGCTCAGGGCTGAAAAAGTACAGGTCTGATTTTCCAAGTAAATTTACAGTTTCATCTCGAACCTTGAAAAGTGTAATTCCATTAGCTCTAAGAAACTTTGCAGCTAGGCTTGTTCCTGAAGTAAAAAACAATGCATTCAAATAACATGAACTCAAAACAGAGAACACAAAACAAACACTGACAGAGCAGCAAAGTACATAGAAGCCATTGAATGAGCTGCCAGGTGAGTTTCTAGCATGAAATAACTCTTGAAGTAACCAATTTACGACCCTGTGAACCAAAGCTCATCCAGATAAGTTCTAAATGGCAACAACATCTCACAGTAGAAATATGACTTCAAACAGTATGAAAATAAGTCTGTTAGTCCATGATAAAGACTTTAAACATAACATTTTAAAAAATTATAGCTTTTCCTCTGGTTTTTTCCATTAATCCAAGATACAGCATCATCAATTCAGGAACCATTAATTGCAAGTTTCTCAAACACACTTTTACTCTTAGCAGTCGAATTACTCAGACAGGAGCCACTTCTACAAGGACCAAGAAATACGTATTTGCTATCGTTTATGAAGGAGAGCTACTACCATCGCTTTTAACATTTCATAGAAGAAAGAATAAACATGAAAGCACAAACACAAATTAAAATGAGCTTGAAACAAGGTTACTAACCCTCAACCAAAATCCCCATTAGAAGTGCTTCGGTCCCAGTATTGGGATATTTAAGCTTCCGCGCTTCCAATTCAGCCATAGCAAACGACTTTATGGCTCTGGCCGACCATCTAAACAACAAAATACAATTAATAACTCACTCAAAAGAAAACACATAGCCCCACACACAACACACGAAATGCAACGAAACTAAAAACTCACTTCGGGCTTTTTCCAGTAGAACTCCTATCGGGTTTCCTGGAAAATAAAAGTGATCCAAAGCAACTATCATCAGCGAAACCCTTAGATGGACATTAATTAGATACAAAACCAAGAGTTGCATACAATTAGAAACCTTACGCTGTTGGGAGGCTGAACAGGACCGTGGCCACCGCCGTCCGATGCTTTGAAGCCAAGTGATTTAAATTCGGAATTCGAATTGAGAGCTTTTTGCCCATAAAAGTGGTGGATAGGTTGTAGGGGGGGAGATGGCAAGGAAGGGACGGAGAAGGAGCGCTAGGGTTTCTGTGGGGTTGAGAGGTAGAGGGTGAGATTGAGAGGGCTGAGAGCGTGATGGAGGTGGAAGCCATGTTTTGCGCCCAATTATGAAAAACCCTAGCGGGGTTTTGGTGGTTGGCTTAGAGTTGTTGTGAGTCTCTCTCTCTTCAGAGTGCTTGAGCTTCAGCCTTCAGGGGAAACTGGGAAAAATGAAACGATTGGTTGGATCGATCTTAACGGCTCAGAACAATTCGAAGGTCGCGTTTTATTACTAAAATGCCCTTCGTATAAATAGAACCTTATTGACCGACTCTATTCCTGAAAATTTTCATTTTCTGAAAGCAACTTTTCTAATGTTTTCTCGCGCCCTGGAATTCTCCCCCGCTTTTCCTCCCTCCCCCTCCCTCTCCTCCGACCACGTCACTGCAACCCCTCCTCCTCCTCCTCTTTTTTTATTCTCTTTCCATCTTTCTCTCTCACTTAGACGTCGGCGTGACGGGAGATGGATAACTTTCAGGTTCCCAAATGCTGCGACACACACGCCTCCATCTGCACCTATGGCGACACAAATCGCATCCCTGCTTCTACTCAATGCGAGCTCTCCAGCAGCGGTATCTCCCTCAACCACGCCCTCGCTGGTATTTTTTTTCTTTTTAATTGTTATTATTAATATTTTTTTTTCATTTTTTGTGATTGATCTTCGTCGGGCCATAAATTGAAGCCCTAATAAACATACGGCCCCAAATGTTTTTTTTTTTGGGTTATGGTTGTGCTCGGCATGCTGTTTTAAATGTTGCAATTCCTTAGTATGAAGGGTTGATTTTCTGTTTTTTTTTTCCTTCAATTTTTAATACGATGAGTCAAATTGATTGTGTTTGAGTTTAATTTAAAGCTAGTGTAATGATCGGTTCACTAGGTTGTATATATTATAAACATGTTTAGGTGCATTAGATTTTTCAAGTTTTAAAGCAACTACTTCTTTGGCCAAATTATCATACTTTACTTAATAATTTTCTTCCTCTCCTTTACTAGCAAAAAAGAGATGAGAAAGCCTGAGTTTATTTACATTTGAATTTTGGTTTTATTTGATCTTCATGTTTTCTTGTTTGTTTTTTCTGTAAAGTTTTTAATTTTATTTTTTGAGTTGAATTTCTATTTTTTTAATAAACATTTTAAAACAATTTTATTTTATTTTAATGTTTTTTTTGCCCCACATGGTGCAATTTTTGAGTGTTCTAAAGATTTGGTGATGGAGGTCTGACATTATAACTGAAAGATAACTTTGAGTGTTCTAGAAATGAGATAACAAATTGACATTGAGTGCAAACTTAGAGGAGGGGCTAAAACAAAATTTGCCCTAAATGTTAAAATATTAAAACACAACATGCTAACATGCCATTTGAGTCAAACTAAAATTGACCCCAAAAAAAAGATAATCCTTTTCAGTGTTTTCTTCTCCTTGCTCTTCCCATTCCTATCCTCCTTACTGACTTATCCCTCGCCAGTGGCTATTGACGACTGATGCGGGGCCCGGGCCACTGAAGGTGACAGTGTTGATCTCGATTTCTCCTTGCCCAGTTGGCTGGAAAGGAGTTTTTTAGAACAATTTTACTGTTGCTTCTGGTTACCCTTATTTTCGTACTGATTAAGTTTGATGTTTTTTCCTTTCATGCTTTCTCTGTGTTTCAATTTTGGCTTATTGCTTCTGGTTGCTGTTGACTTGCTGTACATCATTTGTTTTATCAGTTGGAGTGTTAAATTTGGCATTTCTATTGTCATGTTTCAGTTCAAGTAAAATTAAAAATGTCGTTTGGTGGTTTCTGCAACATACAGAAGAATAATATGGAATCTTAGAAAAAATTAGTGTTTGGTTTTGATGGAGTGACTTTTTTCTTGACTTGGTGTGATTTGCATGAAGCATTTTTACTCATAGGATTCTCTTCTTAAAAATATGGATGACTTAGATTAAAAAGTAATGAGGCCCATAATAAGTAGTGCCAAAGAGAGAATCTGAGTCCTAAATTTCAATTGTAGGCTACTGTGTGGATAGTTGCTTTTTTTTAATTTTTGTATGAGTTGTTTCTGATATGGGCTTTGATGATTAGGTTTGACATTCACAGTGATGTCTTTGCCTCTGATTAGGATGCTTCCCTCCCCTCGGTTCATCACCATCAGGACCTTTGTAAACGCCAAGGTAAAATGGGTTGGAGACCCATACTTGGACTACGCAGTTTAAAGACAGAAATACCTTAAACGATCCATTTCCTTCAAGAACCAAATCATTTCCAACCCTTCCAAGTCCCTCCCTCTCTCTGCGGCCTCTACTCAAGCCCCACCTCAACCTCCCTACCACATCCTCCAAATTCTTTGAAAAATACCCCTCATTCTTCTCCATATTTCAGCCCTGCCCTGGTCTCCCACCTCATGTTAATCTTACCCCACAAACCCTCTCACTCCACAAAGTGGAGTCAACCATTCATACCTCAATGTCTAACAAATACAGTACCATTGAACGACATGCTAAGCTTTTGATGCTAGCCGGAGTGACTAAATTGCCCATGCACCTGATTAACAGGTTGAAATGGGATCTGGGTCCTCCTCATGATATTGTGGGTACCCTTGTTGATGATTTTTCTGATTATTCTGGGGCTTTTGAAGTTGAGGATGTGGTAACTGGTAAAGTAGAGATTGGTTTTGGGGTCTTGTTTGTTGGAGAAAGGAGCTTGCTTTCTCTCAATTGGAAAGAAGGGCAATAATGGGTTATGATCAGTGCAAAAATATTGAAAGCACACTTGGATTTTAATGAATTTGCCCAAAGGGTTTGATTTGGAGAAGAGGGTGAAGGATCAGGTTAAGGAATGGCAAGGATTGCCATACATTTCGCCATATGAAAATGCAACCCATCTTTTACCAAATAGCGACCAGGCTGAGAACTAGATGGTGGCAGTGGTTCATGAGGTTCTTTGTCTTATCTTATGGTTTCAATGAAGACAGAGAGGGAAAATTTGTTTGTTTTGGGAGAGTATTTGGGGTTCGAAAGGTCGAGGCATATAGGAAGGATTTCTTGATTGAGAAGCACCCATTAAGAGTGATATGGAAGAACTAGTAGAGCAGACAATGAGAATGGCTCTTCGGATGCTGCGTTTTAAGATTATAATATGTGATGACGATATGGAAATATGAGGAGATTGATGTGATCTGTATAATTCTTAGGAGGCTTGGCAAATGAGAATTTTGATTGAGAAGTTGAGTTAGTCTATTTGGAGCTAAATCCCTGCCTAAAATGATATTAGGTGTTATCTGGTTTGGAATTCGATGATTGTATTAATTAGTGGTTTCTGCTATTTGACATGATTTTGTTAAATGCTTTATCACCTTGATAATTTGAACTGTGCTTGATATTTGACATGATTTGAACTGTGCCTAAAATGTCTGTGTATGCTAAGGTTTGGATTTTATTATAATGAAAAATATTTCAGTTACCTCTTTTCGTATCTTCTGTGGTGGGTACTGGCTACAAATATTAGACGTGAGATTCTTGAAGTATAACTATCCTAACTGTGTTGTCTTTTGAGAATGAAATACGAATTAATTTACGTGTGACATATACATTATTCTAAATTTCTAATATATAACACAATTCGCTTTTCACGTCAAGATACTGTATATATTCCCACAAATACAAACTCTATAATTATGTAATAGAATTTACTTGTTCTCGTAGTCATAATAGTTTTATTTTTGGATCAAGGAAGAAAACTTCATTAAACCTTCAAAAACAATCAAGATACACCCATAAAAGGTGGAGAACGGAGGTGCAACTAGGGTGGCCTGATTAAAACCTAGTGGAGGAAAAGTCTGTCATGTAAAGAGTACCACACACCTCCAACAAATTAACACTTCATCTTCTCTATCCGCCAGTAATGTCGATGATAACCAATGTGGAGCCAAACCAGCCCAATACAAAAGTCGCTGTTATCGTAAGCCAAAATGAACCAAAGAGTGCACCTCTGCATTCCCTTTGCGAGGTTGGTAAAACACTTGTTCACCCACCTGCAAGTGCACCAATAAATTCCTCACATCTTCAACTAAACTGCAAAGATTGCTCCAATATTCGCCAAATCTTGTCGCCCTTGAGAATCAGAAGCCAAAATAATGTTACGGTGACCCCATCATAAAGCCATTAACAATCCTTCTTGCATTGCAACGAGTTCGGTACCCCGAACATCAAGCTCAACAGGTCACATGCAAACTTGCAATAAAACTCTACTTTTTTTTTTTTGGTCAAGGAGCTATATTCATTAATAGTGGGAAACATTACAAATTGAGAAAACTCAATTCAAAAGGCAGCCCAACACCAACAAATAAAGACCCAAAGATACAAAACCAAATAAATAACATAAGCCCATAAACTATTAAAAGAAGAAACCCTAGATCTAGAACACATGAGCAGCCGCACAGAGCATTCCAACAGCTTTGGTGGTGCTGTTGGAATGCTCTGTGCAATAAAACTCTACTTTCCTCCAACAGTGAGAAGAATAACAATTCAAATTTCACAAATTTACAATTCCACACATGTATATTGTACTCATTAAATTGTCAAAAGAGCATTATACCTACGGCGTTGAACGTGTCCTGGATATGTCATATTTTTTGCTGTAGAAATCAAAGTCTTAGTGATTTGTGGGACCCCTTATTCATTGTTTCTGGATGTATTAATAATCTTTTTTCCTTTTCTTTTTGCGGGGTTTCTTGATGTAATGATTGAAACAGGCTTTGTCATCCTCAAAGGATGCATGATACTTAAACGTTAAGATTTTCAATCATTTACCTAATATTGTTCTTTATGACTGAGTCGTCTCTCTTTGGATCTAAACAGATGTTGATTCGAACAAGGAAGCCTATACATGTTGCCACCAATAAACTTGTGCAGGTAAACAGTGGAAAGCACCTAGACATTTGTGGGTTATGCATACGTGCGTGAGAGGGAAAATAGACAAATAGGCCTGGCCACTAAATAATAGTAATTAGTGGGATGCAGCTCTAAAGAGTAAAAGAAAGACATAGCAACTAGAAAAAGAGTATTCTTCCAGTAGGCAAAGAAAAGTAGTTGGTGGGAACCCACTTTCTGTGGACGAACATTAGTTGGGAAAAGATACTCACCAAATCTGGAGTTGAAAGGAGGGAAGTATTATCCTTAATTTTTTGCTTTGAAGTACTGTTTTGCGTATTTGTTGATAATTATGAACTTATGAGACTCTTCTAGTCCATTCTATTTTATTTTTATGAAACATAATAACCTGATCTTGATCTAATCCATAGTTATTTGAACTTTCAATTACCAATATTTTTATGATTGGAACCAAACAATCAAATTTAGAAAGAAGAAAAAACATTCTAGCTGAAATCTGAACTTTACTTTATAATTCGTATCATGAATCATGACCTCAATATGTGGTCCATGGTCGGTGGTACGTGGCAGCTGCTTATTTAGTCAGCTTTCAAGAACTTAAATCTGCTCCATATTTATATAATATTCTCACCGTCCTTTAGATTGGAAGTATCCTCCTACTACACCTGGATTACCAAAAGGAAAATCTTTATGTAAATCTAGCTCCTCTAAGCATCTCTGTGTCAAAATGGACAACGACGTTGATATTACAATTTAAATATACTAAACACTAGCTCTATATAAATCATCTTCGATCACCAGCTCCCATAGCGAAGCTCCATAATTAGAAAAACCTTTTGAAATTAAGTTCACAAGTTTCATCCAAGTGTGTCTGCAGTGCAGAAAGCTAGCTACAAATTAAACATGAATGGAGGTCATCATCACCCTACTTTCCCTCTGCACTTATGTTTCTTCCTTGGTGTATTGCTCACGTTTGTTGGGTTTTCATGGTACATTAACTACGAGTCTGTGCTGGAGAGCATGTTTGATCAGGTGAAACTGGTGCTCATGGTGTCTCCCTTGCTGTTGTTACTAGTGGTGCACTGGCTTTCCAACGATGACCGGAGGCGGTTGCCCTCTCTCATACCCTTACCTGAAAAAGACTCCCTGCATAGGGCTGGAGGAACTCCATGGGGAGTTGGATTTCTGCTTGTTTTCCTGTTTTTTATGATTTCTTACCAGTCTTACTTTCAAGAACGTTGGTTTCCTCTTCTAAGCAGATAGCACCAGTTTTACGTAATCTACTTTTCTGTTGTTATTATATGTGTAAACCAGGTTTCTGCAGCAGCAGGAGAGTTCTGGAACTTCTGAAATGGCATCTTTCTTTTCCCATATTGTAGTGAAGTTGAATTATATACAAACGGAGTTGTTACAGTTTTATTAATTTGCTATCTTATATTGTGCAATATTATATGTAAAAATATTCAAATTAAAGGTTGCAACACATAACTATATACACAAGTAATAATAGGAGAGACCCTGATGGCAACTCCTCATAACTAAATAATTGGTTGGCCGCAAGAAAATCAAAGTTGGATTTAGGCTCTAAATCGCATACCAGACCAATATATCATTACAGTCTAGTTTTTTTTTTTGTAAATACCATGAGGTGTCCGGGCCAGTTTGCGTGCACCAAGACTAATCCCCACTCGCGAAACTGAACCTGGCGCTGATCACTAGGTGTTGCAATTGCCAGGACTCGAACTGGGGAGCAAACCCAACCGAACCCCAGTCTTACCCAAATGGCGGACAAACCCAAGAGTCTTACCCAATATAATATAACATTACAGTGTGTAGTTTAGGCCCCAAATTAGTTAGCATAACCGAGTCAAACCAACCTTTGAAGCATGTCCGTGGCCAATATCACTACAGTGCAACTACAACACATTATGTTTGCATTATTGTACCAAAATATATCCCTAATAACAACTCTAAATCCCAAATGAACACATAAAACTTCTTAAAACATATTAATTAAGCTATTATTAACCCCAAAAATATATTTTATAAAGAAACAAGTATGTGGAGTTTGAACTACAATTACACCATTTATAATTGCAAATTAATCGACACTCTACGGTTATCGGTTGAGAACCTTGTGGAAGTAAAAGTACATGGATGCACACGATTGAAAACGTGAATTATACATATATATATTTTTGAGAACCTCGGCACTACGAGGGGAACGTGAATTATATTTTAAAACTTATAGAATGGTAATTTTAGCATCCTTCAAAAAGCAACGCCTAATACATTTCATTGTTCCAAAAAGTTGCCATGGATTACAACATATAGTAACACCATTTACTGTCATAATACTATAATTGGAAATCAATGGACAATCTACGATAATCGGTGGAGAGCCTTGTAGAAATCTAGAATCAAAATTACCTAGAACAAATCCGAACAGCAATGCTTGTAGGGAAAGGCCTATAAAAGAAATCTAGGATGTTCAAAACAAGAAACTTGATAAATTCTAAAACAAGTTGCGAGAAACGTAACATTATTAAGATTTCAGAGGGACGGATCCTTGGACCACCACTAGCAACATCAATATTGTCCCTAACTTAACCACCTATTTAGTAGGTGTGGGGTTTTATACAAAACACCTCGATGTTAGTAGGTGGAGCCATTCATTATATGAGACTTTCTATTTTGTTAAGTTTCTGATGTGAGATTGTGTGTATTCTTCAATAGACATTTGGTCAAGGCTTTAATTGTTCATGGAGGACACGACGTTATGTTGATGGGGTCCGCGCAAAGGGATTTTACCAAAGGTGATATCTCATTAATCTTATACAAATCAAATAGCCAAATCGGTTTTTGTAGCAACCAAAGTGGCCCCGATGAGGGTAACTCAAGAGAAAGAAGATCTGCCATGAATGACATTTTGTTTTTACTTTTTCTGACGGAGAGAAATGGTATAGATAGAGGAGCAAGAGTTTATTTTATGTATTCTTCTTCCTTTAAAATAGGTGATTTCGATTATATGATGACATGCCAAACTATGCGCCATTATGTCAGGGGGAAAAATTTAGCAATGCCCTTCAACCCCAATTTTGGACTTTGGGCATCTTGTTGAACAGTTGAGGCTAGGGAAATTAGAGTAAGGGATAGGACTTTGAACTTCATTTATGAAATTAGCTTTGGAATTGATTTGAACTTGCTAAAATTAGAAATGTTCGGATTGGAATCGGCTGGAATCGGAATTTCCAATATGCCGGAAATTATAATAATTTTTCAAAATTTTTTTGGTATGAGTTTTCAATTTTCAACAAATTTTAACCTTTCAAATGGACATGGACATAATATTAGCCAAGTTGGCTAGAGTGGATATGCTCCCCACTCTGCACCCGCATAGTTCAGATTAGTTTAAAATAGAACATCCATGTATAAAAATAAAAAATTGACATGTTTAAAATTTTGAACTATTATCCGATCAAAATATTCCAAATATTCAGAGTTTTCTGAATTGGAATAAATGTTGAAATTCTAAATTTTTTTGGAACGAAATTGGAAGAGAATTTTCATTCTGAAATTTTTTAGATTAGAATTTGAATCCCTTGATTCCGATTCGTTCCATCTGAAAATCAAGCCTAGATAGAATGAATTAGTGGGGTTCAAAAGCAAATTGAAAATTCATAGGAAAAAATGGAGCACGGCCTATAATTCATGAGATATTGCTAAATTTTTCCCTTTTTGTCCATTATTCTATTTTATCTCTCTTTTTTATATTATGAATGAAATGTGTTGTGGTGATTTCAGGAAAATGGTGGAACCATGTCATGATGGCATCAGTTCAGTGCTGAAAATAATCTGAAAAGAAAAATAAAAGTCTCATCCAACATCAACGTTATCCTTCTCGGCCTTAGTGGGTTGGTGTTGGTGAAGTGACGCACTTAATTCATCATCGTCCACCTTCATTTGATTTATGATTTCTAAGTTCAGACTCACAACACTTGGAACCTGTTGTTTCTGTACACATCATCACCATCCCTTGAACTTTGGCCCGCATGATTTTGTCGAAGAAGCTACTCCCCTCATCATCAACTGCACTTCACTGCAAAAGCTACTCTATCGATTATGTAATAATCAATAGAAGAAAAGACCTTTCAAAATTAGCATGCGGTGTAATGTAATCAATGGCGACTCTAATCGCTAGTTAATCATAAAAGAAGTGACTACTAACAATTAACTAAGGGCATATATCTATATATATATATATAGATAAGTATGGATGCACCCAAAGGCCACCACACCACCACCAGTCTACTACCTCAATTTCTCTTGCATATAAATAGCCGAAGCATCTAGTGGATTTGGAACTCCTCCATTCTTGTGATCTAACATCTTGGGTTTGCATTGATTTGCTGCACAAAATGGCTTTGGTGAGACTACCAGTCGTCCTGGTCCTGCTGCTAATTATATCAATAAGCTTGGGAATGGCAGCAGCAGATTCAGCAAAAGATAGAGACGAATGTACGCAGCAGTTAGCAGGGATGGCCACGTGTCTGCCTTACGTTGAAGGCCAAGCTAAGACCCCAACACCAGACTGTTGCAGTGGTCTCAAGGAAGTCCTCAACAGCAATAAGAAGTGCCTTTGCGTTATCATTAAAGATCGCAATGATCCAGAACTAGGTCTGCAAATCAATGTCACCCTTGCTTTGGGCCTGCCTTCCATTTGCCATGTCCCTGCTAATATCTCCAAGTGTCCCGGTATATATGTTCTACACGCTACACTATTAAAATGTAGTCCATGATTTCTAGTTGCCTATGTTGCTGTGGGATGGAATGAACCAGTTTTTACTAAAGTAATTTTGACACTTTTCTTTTGGTTGATGATATTGATATATATGTATGTATGTATGTATGCAGAACTTCTGCATTTGGATCCTAAATCACCAGAAGCTCAAGTTTTTTATCAATTGGAAGGGAACTCTACTCAAACTGCCAACACTAGTGTTGCTCCAAGTCCTAGTGGTACTACATTCTTTTCATATTTTCATATTAAGATTTCACAATCGTGAACCGTGATGTTGAAGAATTATTAGACTCTTATTTTCTTCCTAAATAATGAACTAAATATGACAATTTTGGGTTCTTTTACTACGTAGCAGTTGAGGCTCCCGCCAGTGCCAAAAGTGTGGGGTCAAGTTCTGGCAGCCGAAACAAAGTCGGTGTGTTGCAGTGGAAAGAAAGAGACTCGTCTTGGTGTTTCGCCTTAATGGTTTTCTACTTGTTCATCTAGATACTTGTAGTCGGATTAAACTTTTTTATCAGAACCTCAGATTTTGAGACAGGTTGACATAGCAGCCGCCTTGCCTTCATTGTATGACTTATGATTTCCGTTCCAAGAATAAAAAAAACATAACTCAGCTCTTTCTTCAAAGGCTTCTATATATATGTACTCGTGCAAATTACAATTTATATATGAAGAAAAAAATAGTACGAGCAAAGAATACACAAGCTCTCCCTCCGACTTTCTGTTCAACAATTGTAATCGTTACCTTTTAGGTTATCTTTCAAACAATATCTTCAAATAAAAAAATCAATTAAATTGAAAGGCCAGAAGGCAGTAGCACCTCTTTGGGACAAACCATCGAACAGGTGGTGGGCTCCTGGACTAGCGACTAGCAGGGGTCAATTTTTTTTCCCGGGAAGTGGTTTCCGGCTTGTGGGGGTCCACCCTTGCCCCACTATAGGTCCGCCCCGACTGTGCTGGCTATATGGATTCAAAACTTAAATTTACATCCATATGAGAACCAAGTAGGGAGCACGCATGTGAAGAGAGAATTGAGATCGGGGCAACTTTTCAAAGGCAAACAACCACAATCCGACCTATGGTTGGGCATTTCCATCGAGAAACTGGTCAAACCGGCTGAACCGCATCAGTCAAGCTGATTTGCTTAGGGCCGTTTGATAACCATTTCAATTTTAGTTTTTAGTTTTCATTTTGTGTTAGAGTATAGGGGAAAAATAGGGAGAATGGAAGTGATAATGAAAGTTGTTTGTATCATATCTGACCGTCCTCTTATGCCATGACACGTGGAAAGGATCTGACACCAAGCAGGGCCAGAGCCCACGCTGGCAAGCCCAACCTTATGAATTGGTAGGTGCCCTCAACACCCAAAATAGATTCTATGCCCAGCATGGCCTTGTAGCCAATGCTGGCAGGTCCAGTCCTGCAATCGGCAAGTGTCCCCAACACCAACTACTGATTGCTAATTGACCGGTCCACAATCGGCAAATGCATTCGGCACTCCTTGCTTAGGGCCATTTGATAACCATTTCAATTTTAATTTTTAGTTTTCATTTTGTGTGTTAGAGTCTAGAGGAAAAAGAGAGAGAATAGAAGTAAGAATGAGAATGGAGATGAGATTGAGATGGAAGATGAGAGGAGAGGATGGGAAGGAGAAATAACAAAAGTGAAAGCAAAACTAAAAACTAAAATATATTTCAAATTGTTTTCAATTTCAAGATTGTGGTTTCACTTTTGTTACTCCTCCCTCTCATCCTCTCTCTCTCAATCTCAACCTCACTCACATTCTCACTCTCATTTTCCTCCATACTTTAGCACAAAAAATGAAAACTAAAAATGAAAATTGAAATGGTTAACAAAAGGGCCTTTAGGTTTTTTGTTTTGAAAAATGGTTTAAAATCGAATTGGGCCTCACAGTTTGAACTTTCATTTCTCCAATTTAACCGAATTGAATCGTACAATTTAATTTAATTTATCCAAATCCCTACACATGTCCCCACTTCCTTCTTCTTTCTGACTCTACATGTTCTCTCTTAAGGATGGAATTTTTGACCGAAAATCCAATATGAATTGGAAAACTGACCAAATCGGACCGACTAGTTCGACGTCGACACATAAACTAGACCGAACCACCCTTAACTGATTCGGCACTTGATTTGGTTTTTACAAGCTGTCGGTCCTACCGAATAGAACTGACAGTGGCTAAAAAAGTTAAAAAAATGTTAAAGTTGGAGTAAGAAGGTTCCAAACCCCTAACCTCCAACTCACATAACCGTTTACAACTGCACCACAATGCTTCTTTGTTCAAATTAAGTATTCCTAACATATTTAATGGTATCATTTGGATAAAATTAAAAAAAAATTATTTATTGGAAAACCCTAATATCACCCTAACACTATTATAGCCCCTAAGCCGCCGTTGGTTCAATTGTCGATTTGTGCCTCTCGATTCGATTGTCGAACCAAACCCACCCCTATTCTCTCCATGTCCCCACGTCCTTCTTCTTCTTCTTTTTTCTAGCTCTCTGAGTCCTTCTTTCTCTCGACTTTGTATGTCTATCTCTCTTGACTATGTCTGTGACGCAACATGATAATAAAAGTCTAATAAACGTAAGCCTCAAAGGTAAGAACACTGGAATCCAACATGAAATAGGAGAAAACATCAAAGTTATTAATTTTGAAAATAGGGATAACAACTCTAAACCTTTAGCTAAAGTTGAAATAAATACTGCCTCAAACCCTAGAAGCTCTAGGAATCCAAATTAGGAATGATAAACAAAAAATAACAAAAAAATCCAACTACGACCTTAGAAACGGCGTATGTTGTTTTGGGCAAGTAAACTTCGTTAAATGCCCAAAATAGTCCATATTTCATAGCAAAGCAATGATTTTGACTTGTGACCCCGTTTTCTTCGAACCGACGAGTCATGGGCCTAAATCAGAGCTTGGCACCCAAACCTACAGTTTACTTGATTTGCCCCTACGCGCATATCGCTCTAACTCTTCCACAATCACCTCCACTAGCCGTTATCTATCTTTCTATCTATTTATCTATCTCTCTCTCTCTCTCCAACTTTTCCCTTCCTCTCTCTTCCGCCAATGCATGGTCAACTCTGCCTCGCCGTCGCACCACCTTGCCACCCTTCTTCTCTCTCTGTTTCTCACCATCATTGGTCAGATCTCACCGAGAAATCGAGTTGATTTCTCGACAAACCGACCAATCTGTTTCCCTCTTTTCGGCCGGATAGGCCAATGGAAGGAGTTTTTGGTCCTTCTTCTTTTGAGATGCGTAGGCGTGCCACCACCAAGCCACTTGATGGCTTGGATGGAAAGATCGTGTGAGTGTGGTCTCAATGTTAATGTTCTCCTATCTTTAAACTCCGCCGCTTGTAGGAAAACAACTGCTGGAACTCCAAAGCATACTTCTTGAGTTCAGGCTACTCTGACATTTTTACATTGAGGAACATTTCTCACAACCGAGGATTTTTGGCTCAACGGAGGATTTTTATGTAATCCGAGGATTTTTGGCGCAGGGGGAGGATTTTTATGTAATCCGAGGATTTTTGGCGCAGGGGGAGGATTTTTATGTAATCCGAGGATTTTTGGCGCAGGGGGAGGATTTTTATGTAATCCGAGGATTTTTGGCGCAGGGGGAGGATTTTTATGTAATCCGAGGATTTTTGGCGCAGGGGGAGGATTTTTATGTAATCCGAGGATTTTTGGCGCAGGGGGAGGATTTTTATGTAATCCGAGGATTTTTGGCGCAGGGGGAGGATTTTTATGTAATCCGAGGATTTTTGGCGCAGGGGGAGGATTTTTATGTAATCCGAGGATTTTTGGCGCAGGGGGAGGATTTTTATGTAATCCGAGGATTTTTGGCGCAGGGGGAGGATTTTTATGTAATCCGAGGATTTTTGGCGCAGGGGGAGGATTTTTATGTAATCCGAGGATTTTTGGCGCAGGGGGAGGATTTTTATGTAATCCGAGGATTTTTGGCGCAGGGGGAGGATTTTTATGTAATCCGAGGATTTTTGGCGCAGGGGGAGGATTTTTATGTAATCCGAGGATTTTTGGCGCAGGGGGAGGATTTTTATGTAATCCGAGGATTTTTGGCGCAGGGGGAGGATTTTTATGTAATCCGAGGATTTTTGGCGCAGGGGGAGGATTTTTATGTAATCCGAGGATTTTTGGCGCAGGCGGAGGATTTTTATGTAGGAGTTTTGAGATGGGATAGTCGGAGGATTTTTGGTGGAGGAGTAATTCAAACCGTGGGGCCCATTCATTACCTACAAATATATATATAAAGTGAACACTAAAGCAATGCTTTAGCCTTCCTTCCCCCATCTTCTCGACACTTTCTCCTCACATATAGTTTTATATTGACCAAGTTGCAATCCTTCACATTGTCGAGCATATTTTCTCCTCTTTTGTAGAGAAATCCCACACATCTTTCATCAATTGCATCTGCCCATCTCCAACTTCCCATCCCATAGCCGACTTGTGCATGCATTCCTCCATGTGGATGGTGGATTTTTAACCACACTCAAACACAATCAATGGAACCATCAATGTTTGAAAAAGACGAACAGAAGAGCTTGATCCAATGGGTGATTTCTAGCCAATGACATGGGTGGGTTCGATTGCCTAGGCCTAACCCCACCCCTACCCCCAACAACCCCTCCGCACATAAGAATTTTCAGCTGAAATGGGTATGAACATAAAACCGCAACAAATTTATTTTGTTATAAACCTAGTATCTTGTATTTGCATAGATGCCCTTCATCTAAAGACGCCACCACATACTAATAGTGTCTTAGTAGTGATCACTTGTTTATTTAATCTCTTTCTTTCTCTCTCGACAACCCGTCCTCACTACGCAAATAAATCTATCATTTTTAATGATTTATTTGATTACTTTTCTTTAATTTGTGGTCTTTCAATAATCCCTTTAATATCTTTCGTGAGAGGTTTAGAGCCTTGTAACACTTTGATTAAAATTTGTGATATGTGACACTTGGTTGGGCCCCTCTATTTCCATTAGGTATTTACTTTCTGAAGACTTATATTATATGTAGTGTAGGTTTTAGTTGGGTAGTCTTGTTGGGCTTCAGCCAATCCCTAATTTGAAAGCATTTTATAATTTAGTAAGAAGAAAAATAATAATATAAAGAGAAAAACAAACCCACCGGTCATGGTTGGACCATGACCATCTTTGTTTGACGGTGATGCCTAGCAGTTGCAATACATTCTGTCCTTCAAACTTTTATGGGAAGGAAGAAGGACTAGTTGTTGGGAACTCGTG